CTCAGGAATTGTGACCTGTGTGGCCCTACCTAACAATGGGCCTTACTCACTAAGATTCTGTGATATCATTGGCCCATGATGTCCGGTCCAAGGATGAGATTTAAGAAAATATTCTTAAATTAAATCTTAAATCTTAAATTAAATTCTTTGATTTCCTTTGTGGTGCAAAAGTTGGGTTTGTTTTCACTCTAATGTTTTGAACCCCAAACAGTACAACTCTAAGAAATTTCTTTGGGTCTCCATGGCATGTTATTATACAAAAAAATATCAGCAGAAAAATAATTTTCAGGGAAGGACTGAAACAAAAGAGAAAGGAGATAAAATTTCAGTTTGATTATATTTTACCAGACTTTGCTTTGATAAACACAGTTTTGAGATCCTTGTCATCCCCAAGCTGTTAACCTCTACTATTTCCTCTAAGGATTTCTTTTCACCTAACCAGGCCTTTGTTCTGCTCTTCAGAAAATGTAATGTTCTGGGGGTTGCAAGGTACTGCTGAGCTCAGCCAGGTCATCTGCTGAGGACCTCTCCACCTCCCTAAAACCTCCCCTCCACCCTCCATGCCTCCTCAAGGAGGCTCTGATAAGCCTGGAGTGTGCCTCCTTCTAGTGAGATCCCCTGCTGTGCTGGACACTGACCTCTCTGGTGGAGAAAATGGCCCACTCGTAGGTTACCTGGCCCAGCCTGGTCCCAGTTATGGTTCTTGTCCTTGGGGTGATGCCAAATGGGCCCCAGGGATTCTTTGTTGATGTTGTTGTTTTTAACTAAAGCCTCTGGCAGAAGAGGAAGCCTGCAGGGGCAGAGATTTGGGCAGGTTCATGTTTTAAGCAGATTCCCTCTCAACTTTCTCTCCCTGGGGAGTGAGATGGGGGGATCATCAGAGACACAAGGGTGACTGGGACCTGTGTGGTGATGGGAGGGGCAGGAGGTTGGGAGCAGAAGAGAGACTATGGGGGGCCCGTAGGAAGGAGACGGTGGTCTGTCTCGGGGAGCATCAGGAGTGGGGCAGTGGCTGGTCAGCCTGGAGGTGCTGGAGGAGGCCAACAGACATGGTGTTTTGGGGGTTCAAGGACAAAGAGTCAGGAGAGCAAAAGATCTGAGGAAGGGCATAGGCAGACAGGATGGTGGCAGCCTGGACACACCTTGTCCCATCTTGCATCCTTCCACCTGTCACTGCTGCTGCAATGCCTGGTGCTGTTCCTCCTTGACTTTGAGGTGACTTGTTCTGCAAGAAAAAAGGCCACTAGCATTTCCTGGGCACCCAAGAGGTACCAATCTCTATGCTGAGCCTAGAGAACCCAAGACAGCCAGAAAGGCTTGTTTCCTGCCCTCTGAGAGTCCAGAGCATAAAGGAGGATACAGCCTCTAAAACACTAGGTCCCTGTGTGATTTAGGCACTCTCTCAGAGGGGACAAAGGCACTAGCATCCAGGGGTCACCTGGATAGTCCTCAGGCTCCTGGAAGCTGGTACTGGAGTGGAAACATGAAGAAAGTCAGGGAATGACCTTGGACCTGCCTCAGTCCTCACCATCCTGAAGCACAATCCCCACATCCCCACATCCCCTCACTCCCAACTGTGCCAGACCTGTACACTTGTATGTTAGGGACTGGAAACAATTCTTCTATCTGAGGGGGCAGTTTTCAGCCCACCAAGGTGTCAGATTGGAGAGATACAAACTGCCCTGGACACAGCTTCTCTGGAGTGGGCCTCTCTGGATTTTAGGGAATGAGGGGAGGATTTAGGGAGATCAGGGGGACAGAAGAACTGGGCCCCTGGAGTAGCTGAGCCCAGAATGTCCTTAGAACACCTATTACATATGAACTCTGTGAAACACTCTAAGAAAGTCCCAACAAGGGGTGGAAGCCCTTTGGGGAAAGACCCTGTACCCTAAATCCCTAAATAGGGGGTGTTGCCTAGGTTAGGAGGAGGAGATGACAGTGGTCTCCATTTCATGGAGTAGCTTGAATGAAATATTTTCACACTTAAATGTTGTTGGTTTTTTTCCCACTTTTATTTTAATCATTTTCCTAAAAATCTTGTGCTGTGCCTTTTCTGGTTTGTCTTTGGATGTTTGGGGTTTTTTTTGGTGAAAATTCATCAATGAATAAACGTTAAAAAGCAACTTTCTTCAGGCTGAGATCCCTCTGCAATGGCATCACAGATTGCTGGCCAGTCAGGCTTATTGCTGGGTCGGGAAAGGTCACAGTTACTGAGGGAGATCTAGAGAGGAGGCCTGAGGCCAGGCTTACTTAGGGTCTGGACACAGGCAAGGCCAGAAGTCAGGGCTTCTTCACCTGTTCATTCACCCCAACCAACCCTAAGGCCCCTGGGAAGACTGAGTTCCCAGGGAGAGCAGGCTCACTTCAGAGGGAGGTCTGCACATTGTCCAGCTCATCAGAACCCGGGATGAAACTCTACCTGCCTCTGCTTTGCTTCTTCTTGGCTGAATTAGATCCAGGATCCTGCTTCTCCTGGTTCTTCTTCACACCTTCTTTCTCATCCAGAGCCACGGCTACCTGTACACACAGCAGTCACAGCCCCAGAAGCAATCCCGGAAA